ATTTTTGATCATTTAGCGTATGTATATGTATGTTTTTTATTTTTTTTATTTTTTTATTTTTATTATTTAGTATATATTATTTAGTATATATATGCATGTGTATATGTGTATATTTAATTATTTAATGTTCATATTTAGTGTTCATATATATATATATATATATATATTTGCTAACTTAGTGTATGTATATTTTTGATTATTTAGTATACGTACATTTGATTAAAAAGCAATATGCCATGTTATGCAGATACGATTGTAAGAGTAAAGGTTGTTCGTCAAACGACAAAACAAGAAAGTGATTTAATTATTGTATGGGCTATCAGTGTATATCCAGTAGGACGTGAAGATAGTGAGATCGAAATGGTTTTATTTGTGCCAATTAATTATAGTAATAGAGATCCTAAAACTCAAGCTATTTTTGAAAAGGACGGGTTTTATTCCGTCGGTGGTAAGATTGTACCCGGATATTACGGAAGTAATAAAAGGCCAAAGGTAGTATAATCGTTTAGTTAATGATTAATTAAGTTTCTGATTTTTATTTTAGTTATATTTTATTTATTATTTAATTTTTAGATGACAGTTTCAATTTCGACTGACGTAACAATTCTGAATAATACAGTTAAGTCGAATAAATGTCCATTAAAAATTTCTTTGATCGGGATTCCTCAAGAGTTACCAAAGGTAGTCGAAAATGATGAAAATGCAATTTTTAACGTGTTAGTAAATGATTATGTTGGTCAGGATTATAGCTTTATAGTTAAAGTTGCTTTTCTACATTCTAATCCGCGTCTTGGGCATTTGAAGAATACTGTTCGTCTACATGATTCACTTATATTTGTTGTTGGTCAGTTAGAAGTTATTGATAATGATTTTTATATCTATACAAAGGATATTAATTTCATCGATCTTAGCTATTTTAAGCGAAAAAGTTTGGATGAAAGTAATCTTCGCAATCCGTCAGAAGTGGTTAATGTGACTCGGTCGAAACTTCTTTTTACGCATCGTAAGGTTAATGAAAACTTGAAGGATATTTCTAAAGTTGAGGGACCATCTTTAGTGGTTTCAAATGATAATTTATCATCGATGAGTAGTACTTCGAAACGTGCAAGAATTGAAGATGATAATGAATTTAACGAATCTACAGATGTTTTTGGTAATATAGATAGTAATTATTCGAAGTTAAGTAAAATTAATACTTTGAATGAAGTTTATCAACATGATGAGAGTGAAAGTGAGTTAGAGCAGGAAGAGTGTGCAGAGAATATCGAGTGTAGTGTAAAAAAGGAAAGGATTATGAAGGCCATTCTTTGCGTACTGCTTTGAGATCATATAGTCGTGGTGCAGATATTACT